AGCAGGAAAAAAAAAAATAACAGGCAAGAGGACATACTTGAGGATTGATCATTAGTTGGAGATTGTTGGCAAGAAAATTGTTGAGGTTGATCCTTGCAATAACAAGTAAATGCTGTAGCGGCCTGGTTGTACCCACACTTACCGCCAGAAGATTGGCACGTGTGACAGAAGCTATTAGATGCATTCCACTTCAAACCAAAACCTTGATTTAGACTTCCCAGCAGCTGTGCTGCAGTTGGAGTACTTAAAATTTGCTCAAAAGCTGATTCACGTACTGGAACTTCAATGCTATCTTTGCACGTTGCCAGGTAACTGATCAAGCTAGAAGCAGAGCTTCCAAGAACCGAAAAGTTGGCAAATGCTGTAAAGTAGCCCGTCATCTGAGTGGCGTTTATTTCGCAGGGAAACTGAGGTAAAACCATTGAAGTTGGTGCACCTTGAGTGGGGCAACCATAATAGATTGTTATGTTGTGATCATCGGATGTGTAGTTCAATAGATTGGGTATCCAAGTGGTGTTGAGAATGAGTGATGGACAGATGTTTTCTGCATAATCTTTTCGAGCAACACTGAGAATCCGTGTCTGGTTATCGATGCCAAGAACTTTGTAAGTCAATTTCTCGATTGTGATCTCCGGATCTTGGTCACTGCAGTCGAGCTTCAACTCCGGATAGCCACAGTAGTCAGGCCTATTGGATCCCCAGAAAGGATAACCAACATCCTTAATATCTCCACAATCAAACGAGTTGCTGCAGCTTACATATCGCTCATCATCATTGGCAAAGGCAGATGCTGGAGCATGGACAAAGGTTATTATTAGGAATATGATGAACCAAGACATGGTAGGAAAGAGATGGTGTTGCATTTCCAGAGACGGATAGAAACTGCAGGGAAATTCTGTAGAGGTTGGAGAAAACTAAACCTGTTTTTTTTTCAATATGATGCCGTACTGAATTCCATTCTTGAACAGCACTGTTGGAAAGTAAAATGTTGACTGAACATGCAGTATGACTTGGTCCAGAGCACGAAGTTTCGTGCTGATAGCGGTAGGAGAGCGTATTTTGATCACAAGGAAAGACTATTTCTTTAATTTCATTTTAGCCATAATTATATAGCTATTGATCATTTATTTATTTATTTTAACGGAAACATTAACAACTAACTAACGAATTTTAACAGAAACCCTCAATTAACAAAAGACTGAAAGCTGAGATTTTAAAACAAAAGAGAAGAAAAAAATGAGAAGTTTATGCATTAAAAATGTTGTACGTACCAATTTCGAAATGACTAGGTGGTGAAGCTGGCCATTCAAAATCTTGAGGTTCATCCGCACAGTAACAAGTGAATGCTGTAGTGGTCTGGTTGTACCCACACAGACCACCAGAAGATTTGCATGTATCACATAATGAATCATTTGCTCTCCACGCCAACTCAAAACCTTGATTAATAGCTCCAAGCAACTGTGCTACAGTTGGACTGACTAGAATTGGCTCAATAGCTGATTGAAGGGCAGGAACTTTAACACTCTTGTTGCATGTTGTCAGGTAGCTGATGATTAAGCTTGTAGCAGTCCGACTAAGGTCAGAGAGGTTGACGGTTAAAGTATCCCGTCATATTAGTGTCGTTAATGTTGCAAGTGAACTGAGATGATAACGCCGGTGGGCTTGGACTAGGACAACCATAGAACAGTGTTACCTCACCGTGATCTGAAGTGTAATTCAAGAGGTTTGGATTGAAAGAGGGATTGGAAAGGAGAGAAGGACATAGATTTTCTGCGTAATCTGATCTAGAAACATTGAGAGTCCGCGACTGTTTATTGATGCCAAGGAGTTTGTAAGTCGATCGCATGATTGTGATCGCCGGATCTTGGGTTCTGCAACCGAGCTCAAACCCGGGATAGCCACAGTAATCAGGCCTATAGGATCCCGAGAAAGGATAGCCAACACCCGTAATATTTCCGCAATCAAATGAATTCATGCAGCTCAGATATCGCTCATCATCATCGGCAAAGGCAGATGATGGAGCATGGACAAAGATTATTATTAGGAATATGATGAACCAAGAATTGGTAGGAAAGAGATGGCATTGCATTTCGGAGATGGAGAGAGGTTACAGGGACAATCTGTAGATATTGGAGGAAATTGGACCAGAATTTCTTTTTCTTTTTCACGCCGTACTGAATTCCACTCATGAATAATAGAATTCCGCACGTAAATCCGTTGAAAAGTGAAATACTGAGTGAACATGTAGCATGACTAGGTCTAAAGTAAGAAGCTTCAAGCCGATAGCGGGAGGACTGCTATGCTGCATGGCACTTTATGATTTTGAAATCTCTCAATGCCTTCATCACTCAAGAAAGAACCCTAGCAGGAAGAGCTGCTTGTGCCTTCGGAGAGAATCAAGGCTCTGCATTTAGCTAAAAGCTAAGATCAAGATGAAGACGGTTGCATCTTTCTGTGCCCTCAACATAGTACCGATATGCATGGGTAGCAATTGTCTACGGAATTGAGCACGAGAGACTTTTTGGCTGAAGCCTCTATGGTTTTTATTTCAGCTGCCTGAACATCTCCAGTGATTTTTACGAATTAGACTCCTCCATTTTAGTCCAGCAGCCCACAGAAGCACTACTGTCTCCCTCATTTGTCAATATGCAAATTGTTCCGCGGACTGGTAACCAGAGCAGCGAGTGTTAGCGAGGCCAATTGTTATTTTAATTGGTTGGTCAATAATACCTCCCTTGACTGACATGTAGCCTTTCATCTGACTTTCATACCACCGGAGGTTTCGATTGCAGTTCATAAAGAAAATATAACTAATTCATTACTTCACAAAAACACAAGCTGCCAAGAAATGAAGAGTACGGCTACCAGTAAAGAATAGGTTTGGCCTGCTTGAATGTTCAGTGGAAACTTGGAGGGCAGTATAAAACTTCTGTTCAAAGAGAAATGAGAATGGAGACTGGGACACATATTTCGACATGGTGAAAGTAGTTTAACGCACTGTTGATAAACATATTCTTTGACTCTGCTTTGCAGAGCAACGATGTCACTGTCCTTGAAACATATCCCAAAGAAGAAGAAAAACAGGAAATCTTTAGATTCTTTCTTGGATGTACTAAATGCCCTGATATCAAAATCACTCAGGATGTCCAGCAACATGCGGAACGTTTCACAAATCTGAGTTGAAGAATCCAAAAAACATAAACATAAACGTTTATAGTTTGTAGATGTAAATCATGACCAAGAAAGAAAATGGTCAAGCCCCGGACAAGCATATTTTACTTCAGCTCACAACTAGCATATAACACTTTCTCAAATCTACAGAGAGGGAAAATCGAAAAATGGCTACACGTGATAGTTGCGAATACATGATTTTATCTTCAAATGAACACCTCAGAGTTAAAATACAAGATTTCGCTTAATTTGACTCACGTTCTAAGCATTCGTACAGATACAACATTTATATGGTAAATTACACTCAATCTAATAATTTGTACTAGACTCAATGCACATTACAAAAGCAGGAGTGAAATTAAATTACCTTCTCCAGTCAACCAATGCATGTATTTTATTTATGAAGCTCTTGGCATAAATAATCACCAGACCAAGCCTTTTCTTCTTCTAAATCTATCAACACGGTCAGTGCTCATCCGAGACTTTTCAGGCTTATTTGGCTTCTTAGACTTCTCAAGCCTACTATCTAAGCTATTTCTAGAGATTTCAGGAAGGTCACCCAGTTCAAAAGTGTCTGAACTTGCACTCTCTGATAGTTTGTTCTGATTTTCAGACTCTGCTGTTGTTTTAGGACCATTTGTAGCTGTTTTTGATTTGCCTATGGTCAAAACAAACTTCTTCAGATGTTTGATAAATTCTGGGTAAAGCTCAAGATTGCAATGCCCACCTCCATTGATCCACAATGGTTCATATTTCTCTTTGCAAAGCTCCCACAGTTGTTTCCCGTGAGAGCAGTCAACCACTTCATCTGATGTTCCCTGAAGATAAAAAAAATATATATTAAAATCCCTTATATCCAACGTGATTTTATCTCTAATTTCCATAAGCGATATTTTAAGAGTGATGAGCCATAAATCTCTGACTATTAACTATGATTGTAAATACAGATAACTGCAAATTGAACAATATAACAAAAACTTCAGCAATCAAATGGAGGATCAACAAATATTAATATTTTGTTTTATCCTTCTGATTTATAGAAACAAAAATAAAATATAAATTGAATTTGTCTGTGCAAAACTATCCAGGTTAAGCAAGTACATGATTACCCAGATGTCAAAGCAGTTTATGGCAAACTACATATCCGAGGAAGTCAATCAGGCCACCTTTACGCCCTTAGCAAATGAAGAATTAAAAAATAAGGTTTAAAGAGACCGTTTTTTAATGGTAATTTTACTCCGTCTTGGGCTTTTTATTAATTAAATCATATTATCAATGGTATAGGAAAAGCTCATTTGTTAACAACCAAATTGAATTAGGTTGACACTGAATACAGGCTAGCAGTTGCTATTAAGACTCTTTTCCTCGTATTATTTGCTTGGTTTATGAGTTATGACTGCAACCATAGTTACATCATGTTGAAAGCTTCCAGTGAAACTGTGATGCTAAGGAATTTCCTGTATTCATATCTCTAGAGATTACACACCTATTAATTTTTCCGATGATAGTCTGAAAATTTGTATTCTAGAACAAGAAAGATATCAAAACCATAAGACCTGCATCTTTCACTTTAGCCAAAACTCATGCAATGCATAAAATAATGTCCCAAAGAGAGACTATGAACAGCACAAAAGAAATTGAAGACACGGGAAATAATACTTACATGAATTATGAGAACACGACAGTTCACCATACCAATTTTGTCAATGTTCTGAAAGGAGAAAGTAACTTAAGTGCTCGCACAGAGAATTAAACAGCCATATTTAATAGAATCAACACCACAAAAAAATACCTTGTAAATGTCAAACCAGTAAGTCCTTTTGACTGGGTACAATACCCTCATCCCAGACAATATTGGGCTATGCAGAACCACACCTCTCAAGTTTGGTAAACGTGAAGCGAGATCAACTGTGGGACCACTACCAACAGACTGACCATACAATATTAGTTGATCATCTTTAACCCCATACTGCTCCTTGAGGCATTTATATGCCGCGTCTATGTCCGCATATGTGTTACATTCAGTTGGCTGTTTCAAAAGAAAGGTGGCATATGTTGAGAGCAATGCCATATATTACAAGCAAACAACAACAACAACCATTTGAGAAACTACACATAATGCCAAGTAGGTCCTTGATTAATAGACAATTTTGAAGATGTAAAATAGAATGAAGGAAACAATTAACATATAATTCTTGCTTTATGGATGAAGAGGGGAAAATATGCAAATCAAAAGCATAAGGGGAACTTCTGCATGTTTCATTGTTTGAATTTGAATATCTAAGTTCTGAAACAAGGATATCTAAGCATGCATGAGAAAAAGACATCCACAAAGAAATGTGAAATTGTTAAAGCTCGAGCAGAGCCTAAAACTTTCTTTTGATCATTAGCAACCAGGAATAGGAAAGCTGGTATAAACCTTTCCGCTTGATTGCCCATAGCCAGAGTAATCATATCTGGAAAAAACAAAAACATAAATTCAATATTAAAAACTAACCCGAAAATAAACAACAGTAATATAAAATTGCAAAGGAAATGAAAAGAACATGATATATAAAGAATATGAATACTTTTTTTTCTTCTGTTCTTCGCATCACTTATGATTTTTTAAGAGATTATGAGGTTATTACTCACCTATATTTCTCCACCTATATTTCTCCATTATATTACAAGAGGAACAAGTACACTAGTTATCATGTAGCGTAGCCAAGTAAATAACATAACTTCTACATTGCTTCTGTAAGGTGTATCCTGAAACATA